CCCTCTTCGTTGACCACTAGGCTACACCCTTGGGTGCAGATAAGAAAAAACTTAGTTGCGTTGGGAGATATGGTTGTGTGGACTATAGTTTATTCATAGAGATTCCATAACAATTACAAAAATGGAAAGTTCGACACAATTGACATTTTTTTAAAATTGGAAGCTTCATGATATGGCATGATTGAATTTTTATGTACGCCTTTTGTATAATATTCCCGTAGTCAATACGCTTGCACTACAACGAAGCCCTATAGCTCAAACTAGCAAGTAATTAATTGCTTTCTTATATATATATTATCTATTAGTTAACCAAACTAAAAAAATTGATAAGTTACTCTAGCGCATATATAGATGGATTGATTTTGCCTCTTTCTCTTTAGAGCAGATCAATTGTCAGGCAAGTTGAAAGGTGCACCACCAAACCAAACAAGGATCGTTAACTTGGAGATGTTTACTTGGCATCAGAAGAATAGAAAGAAAAGAAAAAGAAAAATCCAACCTCCAGATAGAGACGAGCAATTTGGACACATTTTGAAATTCTGAATGTATCATCAACAAATCTGCAGAAGAAGCAGTGCAAAGAAAGAGATTTTAGGTTTCAAAGAAAAGTTAAGGGACACAGCAGCAGGCAAGCAAAGATAAGTAGAAGTATAACACAGACCTCATTGCAGAGTCTAAATCAATGCCACTAAGCATCTGAGCTGCTTTTGACCATTGTTGTTCAGACTCATACAATTCTGCAAGTTTTTCCCGAATGATCAACACCTGAAAAGATGGAATTTTGTTTTAGAAATGGGCATTAAAAACATAAAAGATCAAAAGAACCCGTATGTGGAGATCTCTTGATGACAACAGATAATATGCTGAGTTCCAATGTTGACCTTCATTTGTACCATTTTCTCAAAACTAAAATACTCGAGACAATCAAATTTTAAGATGACTATGATTTCCGGAAAATCACAAGATAAACAAATAATTCTGTGACTTTGGTGCTAGCCCACTCTCACAAAATTCAGTTCTTAAAATCACTTCCATCAAAAAGGAATCAAAGGTGTCAATATGCAATAGTTCCATTCAACACATCAACTCAAAAAACACACTTCATAATAAACAACTCCATGGTCCCAATGTTGGTTGTGGCCCATGTATTGAGTTCCTGGTACTACACTCAAATTCTTTTCTAGCCTATTATTTTAACTGGTTTTAATAAAAATAAAGATGCTAAATTTAATGGTCAATTAGAAAGAGATTACTTTCTGAAAGACAATTATTTAGAAATTTGCCATCCTTTCTTTCTGATAAGTACTTCCCATCCCATCATTAATAAAAGAACATATTTCAATAGACAAAACAGGCCTTCTCTTAAGGTGGTAGAGATGTTGTCATGCTGAGTCAATAGTTCTCTTTCTACATACCATGTTCCTTTCTGTATTTTTTCTTGATAGAGCATTCTTGTTGTTTTGTTATGAAGTTCTAAGAAATGAAATTACAAACATCAAACTGCTACACCCTTACAAATACATATGCACCACCTGATGCAGCATACAAAGCAAAATTAAAAAACAATTTAAACTGATGCTAGTGTCATTCTGAAGCACCAAATTTTAGAGCTATATAAGGCATTACTATAAGTCCAAGTATCGTTCAGAATAGGCTGCAAAAGAGCTATCAAGAATCTGACAAGAAACAAAATAGAAACATCAAAGTATACTTGTTCTTCAAAGGACACCACACGAGGCTGTATCTGGTTGAGAGTATAGTGTGCTACTTCCTTTTGAACATCAGGTTCCAATCTATCGAATTCCTGTGCAAATGTCTGCAATAGCTGTCTTGATACCACCAAGGGCACGTCATCCGATAGCACTGCATAATGTACACAATCTCAATCAAACAACAGCGTCTCAACCCCAAATTAGTTAGAATCTGACTATAAATCTTGTATTTAGATTTCAGCTGAGAAATATACAACATGAATATATAAAAAAACAGAAAAAATATGATTAGACAGCCAGAGAGATGGTAATTGCACTGCATAGTCGTACACAAACTCAATCAAACAGCGGCTTAATCGCAAACCAGCTGAATCTGACTGTATAAATCGTCTATACCTATTATTTCAGCTAGAAATATACAACATGAAAAATAAAACAAGTAGCAAAATTATGATTAGATAGCAACTACACTGCATAATTGTACAGTCTCAATCAAACAACGGCTCAATCTCAAACCAGTTAGTATCTGACTATATAAATCATCTATATCTATTTCAACTGAGAAATATACAACATGAACATAAAATTAACAGAAAATTGTGATGAGATAGTTACTGCAATGCATAATCGCACACAATCTCAATCAAACAGCGGCTCAATCCCAAACTAGTAAGAATATGACTATATATAAATCTTCTATATCTATTTCAGCTGAGAAACATACAACATGAATGTAAAATAAATAGCAAAATTATGATGAGATAGTAACTGCACTGCATAATCGTAAACAAACTCAATCAAAACAACGGCTCAATCTCAAACCAGATAGAATCTGACTATATATATCTTCTATATCTATTCCAGCTGAGAAATATACAACATGAACATAAATTAACAGCAAAATTATAATGAGGCAGTAACTGCACTGCATAACCGTACACAATCTCAACCAACCAATGGCTCAATCCCAAACCAGTTAGAATATGACTATATAAATCTTCTAACATCTATTTCAACAGAGAAATATACAACATGAACATAAAATTAACAGCAAAACTGTGATGAGATTATAACTGCGCGACATAATTGTACACAACCTCAATCAAACAACCTCTCAATCTCAAACCAGTTAAAATCTGACTATATAAATCTTCTAACATCTATTTTAGCTGAGAATTATATAACATGAACATAAAATTAACAGCAAAATTATGATGAAACAGCGAGAGAAACTTACTGTGATCGATGAATTGCTTGGCTTGTTGGATATCGCTTGATGCGAGAACGGTGGAGAGAATGTGCTTGTACTGTTCGATTTTCTGGCGTTGGTCGCTGATCGCAGAGGCACTAGCGAACGCACTCTCCATTGCGATTTAGGGTTTTTCTCTGAGCTAATCTTCTCGAATACGTAATTTGGAGTGTCTCGTCGAGCTTTTTTTCGAAGCGTTAATGGAGCTTATGAACCAAAATTTTGGCCTATAAATAGGGATTTGAAAGTCGATTTATAATCTGTTGCCCGCTGTGGTATATGGGCTCGGACACAACTTCGAACATCGAATATGAATAATTTTGAAAAATAAAATTATAATTCTCGTTTCAATTTATGTATCACCTAAAGTTGTTTAAAATCAAATCACAATCAACAAGTCAATCACAAGTTCATAACATTAACTTATTTATCTTGGATTATCAAATTAATGACCTATCGATACAAAAGCAAATTACTCAATTTTCTTAGTAGTAAATCAATAATTTATTAAGAAGTATCATACTTATATTTTTAGTGTAAATATATAAAGTACATATTATTAACCCTAAAGTCCCGTTTAATGTTGAAATAATAAGTTGTTGTATAGGTGAATATTTGTTAAATAATTATTCATGTGCGTGCATTTTAAATGATTAGTCCTTCATATATATTTTTTTACTGTAATTCATGATTATAGAATACTAATTTATATAGAGATAGAAAAAAATATTTTATTTTATGGAAATCTGAGAATGAAATGATTTCTGATAATTACTAACTTGATACCGAACTAACTAATATCTCGTTAGACGACTAGCGGAATAGTATATTTAAAAATCGATATGTAATAAGTCAAAATATTAAGAATAATTATTCACTTAGTCCATCAAATAAATAATCCTTATGCCACCGTTTGAGGTACTACACAAAAATAAGAGATGTTACGTCAAGGAATGAAACAACTCATTAAAGATTAAACATTTTTAAGTCATTCACCCATTTAGTAAGAATATTGACAATGTAATAAATTTAGCCTTATTATATAATAATTCTAATGATTCTTTTATTGTTTTGATTAGATTTGGGACAATCAAATAATCAAATTTCACAAGGATATCGTATTAGTCTAAAATTACATCTGAACGTATCTTTAAGTATGTTCAAGCCTTCAACAAAAATATTAATACATAGGTCATAATAGTCAACAAAGCAGACATAAGTTCTCAATTGTGATCTCTAATAGTATAACTATTGCCTGAAAATTCATTTTGCTTCCGCATTTAGCTTTGGCTTAACTTAATAACTTAGATTAAGTTCAAATATGTATAAAATGAGTACAAGCCTTGAATTTCTATCTTTTACATATTTCATGTAATTGAAAGATAAATATATAAAAAGATACATTTAATATATCTATTATTTCAAATTTATCAACATATAAAAAGAGGTCATCATCCACTTTTGACAACTACCATTTCATAGCCTTGTACTTTATTTAACCTTGATTTGTTGTGATATAACAAGATTATATAAAAAAAAAAATCAAATTTAATTAACAATCCAAACACTCAATATATGAAATGTGCTCTCCTTTGTGCAGTCAGCACAACAATTACGAATGAAAAACAGTTGACTCCAAATCTCCCTGAAAATAATATCAATGCTTGTTATATGCATCAATATCCCTATTAAAAAGAACACTTATAAAATTTGTGATTTAAATTTATTTTTAGGTAATTTTATAAGTATAAAATATTATTTTTTGAAATTAAATTATTTTTAATTATGAAAGCATATTTTTTGAAATAGAAACTTAAAAGAAAAGTATAGTATAAATTGAACTGAAGAGTATACTTTTGATTTTATTCCAGGTTGGTCAAACAAGCTTTAGTGGTGTTGGGCCAAAGTAGAAATTCCGGGTTGAGTTCCTTTGAAGCAGGCCCAGATCGAGATAAGATCCGGGTCGGGTTGCGTGGCACGGCACCTTTGCAACTTTTTACATATATTCCACTTCTACCCCTTCACTGTAGTTCATCAGCTACATATAAACCTCAATACAACAATAGCATTGACTACTCTCATTTCATCTCTGTGTAATCACAAAGCACGATCATCACCTGGAAACTGGAATTCGATAGCGGAAACTCTCTCTACCTTCGCAACTACAGTGATGGAGAACTCCGGTTAGTTTATCACTGTCCACAAAAATAATCTTAAGATCCCTCAAATTTCACGTCATTCCGATTCAATTTCGTGCGAGTTGCTCTGTTTGATGAAGTTGAATTTTGTTCATAATTCCTTTTTGATTTTATACGTTTTTAATGTTGTTTGAGTATCGTGTTAATCGTGTTAAAATGTAGGAACTTGGTGTTGGACTAAGGAGTCTTAATCGTGTTAAAATGGTAGGAGCTTGGTGTTGAACTAAGGAGGTTTAGGATTTTGTGAGAAAGTTTGTAGTTTCGTGTTGTTTTGAGATTTGAATTTGTTTGGTATAAGCAGCGGGCGAGCATTTTGGTTTAGGATTGTGTGTATGTGTGTGTACTGGATCAGCCTATAGTAGGACTCCATGGTTACCACCTAAAATGGCGGTAATCAGGGTTAGATTAGTAGCATCTGCTGAGCAAACAGCTCTATTATCAGTTGTTATTTGGAAATTGGAATTAGCTAATAGCTTGCAGTATGGAGTGATCCTAATTGTTTACCAATTTTCTATCCATTTTTTGACCAATTAGATATCACATTTTACATCTCACTGCTGATGACATTGAGCCTAGACTTTTTGACAAAATCCTAAATATAGCAAACTGCACAATGCATGTTTAGGAAAAAACAATCACAGGTTAAATATAATTTCCAGTGACTTGTAATTGTTGACATGGAAATGTTCTGAGGCCTGAGTGAATAGGGGCCAAATAAGGTTGAGAGATTGATTCATGGAAAAATATTGCATGTTCTGGCTATTAAACGCCGCAACAAGAAAAAAAGATGTTACATGAAAGCGGAAAAATAACATTTATGGGTGCGTAGGAAAGCTGTTACCTTATTGCAGGCTTTGTTATGGCCATACCTACATTTTTGGTTTGGTTTTTAAATAGAGTGTCCCTTTAATTAATACTAACAGAGTAGCTTACGATAATGCATGCCATAACTCTGCTGTGGGAGTATGATTGATGTAGTTACATGCATATCTGTGGCGATTTCCTATAGAATATTCTTTCAAGAAGCATACATCAACCCACATGATACAACATAATACTTGTACATGATAATTTGGGATAATATGCTAAGTGCTGCTTAATTTCCAGGTTGTTTTGATTTTCAATGGAAAAAATAATCCATGGTTGCTACTCCAATTTATCATTAAATGCTTTGTCATCATTTCTCCCCCCCCCCCTCCTGGTCCTGCCCTATTCTGGTCTTCCATTTGTCTGAGTGTTTATTGCATCTAGATCTTATAGCTCTTTTGCCAAAAGTTAAGTATCAGTTCTAACTCTTTGCTTGGTATGCAAATCGGTGGGAAGGGATTTCAACGCTTCTTCTGGAGATGTATCTGTGAAAAAATGTCTTATCCGTTATTGTTATGCTTGCAGCATGCTTATTAAATGATTAAATCTGACTTGACCAGTTGAGTTATGGAAAGTAAAACTGGAGTAGCCTTGATGTATGGACCTTTTTACTGTATTTCTAGTCTAGTGAACCTTACAATTCCACAGACCCTAGATGGGTTCCTTTCTTAACTAATGCCATCATGCATATAGGTCATAGGTATTAAATTTCCAAGATGATGTTTTAATTGAAGCATGTATGACATCAACGGCTTTTCTTTGTTTTCTATTTTCTTTCTTCTTTTAGTCTCAAATGTGGAACATGAACAGTTTCACTTTTTTTTGTGTCTGGGTTGGTGGTGGTGGTGGGGTCACTTTTCTTATAAAGTTTCTTACCTGGGAGTAATGTGCATTAACTCTCTTCGAAGTGCAATTATTTACATAGTTATGGAGTGGTGTTTCAGATTACATCTTCTTGTGTTTGAACTTGGATATTTCTGTAGGGGACCACCAGGAGATGGTTGTTCCACCAGTTGAAGGTGTTTCTGGTGGTGGGACAGCTTATGGATGGAGTGACACTGGTGTAAATGATCCAAGACCATTAAGGGGGGCAATCGATCCTACAAAAGTTCCATCTTTGGAGTTATTGAATGTGTGGTGCATGCCAAACACTGCTAATGTCGGACCACAAGACATGCCTCGTGAATTAGAATCTGTATGTGTATAATGTATCTGGCGCTACATACGCTGATGATGATATTTCTGTGATACATACATTTTGTGACGGTTTCAAGACATTAAAATTTCCTTTGTTTGGAAAACATTGAGTCCTCACCATGGATGTTGGCACTATAAAAAATGTTTGTTATAATTATCTTTTGGGAAGGGGAGCCTTGGTGAAACAGTAAGTATTGTTTCTGCGTGCCCAGAAGGTCACAGATTAAAGCCATGGATACAGTCTCTTGCAGAAATATAATATAAGGCTGTGTATAATAAACCCATCCTGGTCCGACCCTTCTTTGAACCCGTGTTCCCAGAAGGTCACGGCTTGAAGCCATGGATACAGTCTTTTGCAGAAATGTAAGATAAGACTGCGTACAATTAACCCATTGTGGTCTGACCATTCTTTGGACTCGTGCATAATGAGAGCTTAGTGCACCATATTGACCTTTTGATTATCGTTTGTCCTTTTAGCTCATTATTAGTGGATGTTATAGTTGAAACTAAATGTTTCTCTGCATTTCATACAGATTATTCCACTTTTGTTCTTTGTTTGTTACTCACTCTTAGCACTCCCTTAGGTTGAATTACTCTTGGAAAGTAGGGATTGTCCTTTTGTTTTCTCTCTCTCTCTCTCTATCTATCTCTTGTGGGGGTTATAGGAAAAACACTAAAGTTTCTTATATGCTCATGCATTTGTTGCTTAAAATATTAAATTTCATTATCAAAAGGTGTAATGTGACTCGGACTTTATCTTGTAGATATCACTATTAGCAGCAAGAAATGAAAGAGAAAGCATTCAGATTGCAATAAGCCCAAAAGTTTCTTGGGGTGGATCTGGAATTGCTGGAACTGTGCAGGTTCAGTGTACTGATCTCTGCTCACCCTGTGGTGCTAGGTTTGTCACTACCCATGTTCTTAGCTTCGTTCACACCTATCTAGGATATGATGTGAAGTTATTGATTCTGTTTATGGTGAAGCTACTGATGATATTGGTTGATTGCAGATTGGCAGTTGGCCAGTCGCTGACATTGCGCAGAGTAGTACCCGTTTTGGGAATTCCTGATGCACTTGTTCCACTTGATATGCCTGTCTGCCAACTGAACCTTTTTCCTGGGTATAGACATGATACTCCCATTCATATCATTTATGTTGATTAGAGTCAACTCTGAGTCATGATTACTGTGGCATGCTTTGCAGAGAAACTACAGTAATTTGGGTATCAATAGACGTCCCGATTGAACAGACACCAGGTCAATATGAGGGAGAAATCATCATTTCCGCCTCCAAAGCTGAAGCAGAGTGATTGTCTATCCTCTCTACTTCAGTTAAATATTTGTATATCAGTTTTGGAATATCCGACATCACAACAATATTGTCCTGAAGTTTTTTTTTTTTCTTTTTTTGGGGGTGGGGGGGGGGGGGGATGAGGACTGTTTCATATTAGTTCATTAAATATTTGTCCATCTGTTTGAAACAGATCTACAAACCAATCCCTGAGCAAACTGGAGAAGCATCAATTATACAGAGAACTGAGAGACTGTCTTGATACTGTGGAGCCCTTAGAGGGGAAACCATTGGAAGAAGTGGTTGGTCTCTTTGAAATTACATGCCTCATATGAACTCTTATAATTCCTCAAGTTGTATTTGCCAAGCTGCTGCTCATAATGAGCTTTTGTTGTTTTAGGTAGAAAGGGTCAAGTCTGCAACTTCATCTTTAAGAAGAGTTCTTCTATCCCCATTGTTTTCTGATTTCTTTTCAGATAATGGGCCCATAGATATGATGGAAGAAGATGCTATTTCTAGCCTTTCAATCCGTTTGAAAATAAGTTTGACAGTCTGGGACTTTGTGCTTCCAGTTACCCTTCTGTCCCTGCTGTGATTGGTGTATCCTTTTTTGTACACTGGGTTAGAAATTATATCAAGCCATTAACTGGTTGTGGAGAATTGCTCCTGGTCACTGATTGCTATCAATTGAACTCACGTGATTTTCGATTTGTCAGGCTTAATTGCCAATTAATTCGTAATCTATTGCATCATGTTGACTTAACATTTTGCCTGCGAACAATTGATTTGGCTGTTTCCTTTTCCTAATTGACGAGCTTCTTCTTTGGAATGTCCTCCATTTCTGTTGACTGATGTATTCTTACGAGTCTATTCATGTGTTGCTTACATCTTGTGTGGTTGTAGTTCTTTTTCCTTCTTCTCCTTCATTCATGTAAATTAGAATGTCATAGTAGACACCTGGAAACAGCAAATATTCTGCAATTCTATCCTTTTCTCTCTCTTTACTTACTAGTGACTGCTGGTACTAGTCTCTGTGATAAAGCAACTGAATTTTCGAATGAGGATGGAGTTCTTTAATTCTGTCTAGATATCTGATACTGTTATTGAAGATCGATTTGGGGTTGAGCACGGAAGCAATGAATGGTTTGAGCTGTTAGATCAGCATTTCAAATGGCTACTTCAGTATCGAATTAGTCCATACTTCTGCAGGTGGGGCAACGGCATGCGAGTTTTGACATACACCTCACCATGGCCAGGTAGTATATGATGCTTATTGCTTAGTATACTTGTACTTGTGAAACTCTCTTACTTTTAGATCTACTTGAAGTCTGAATAGATAAGTTTGTAAAGGTGCTGAACTGGAGAGTCTAGTTCTATTCTCTTACTGGCTTTTACTCCAAGTGTATCTACAATAAACTAAAATTTCTATCTCTAATGCTGTTATAGCTGACCATCCAAAATCAGATGAGTATTTCTCTGACCCTCGTCTTGCGGCATACGCTGTACCTAATGGTCCAATAGTCCCTTGGTATGATGGACAACTCTTTTGCCAAAAGTTCTAGGATAGTAGGATGTATGTCGTGTACAAGTTGATCAGTTTCCTTTTGCTTCTTAATTTGGCATTAGTGGCGATACTGCAAAGGACTACCTACGAAGGGAGGTAGAGATACTAAAAACAAAAAACCATTGGAGGAAAGCATACTTCTATCTGTGGGATGAGGTAAGTGAGCAGATTGAATTGCTATTTTTTTTATAGCATATATGACAAACTTTTTATTGTTCTAGTGACACTTTCAGTTCAGAGTCAAGTATCCTCCTGTTTGTAGCTGGGACATGGTCTTTGCTCTTTCTGATTTCGTAGATGAGAAACATCATTTTCCTGAAATATGTTGTTTGTCGTTACAACACCAGGCAACAACTATTCCTCAATAACAAACTTTGTGGTCATACAGATATACATTTATACATGATGTGTATATAAATATCCTATTTTCTGCTTTAAACCGGTAAATCCTTTTGTCCATACAAAAAAGTGGAAACCATACGGTGTACAGACTTATAGTGCTTAAACTGTCTTTTCCAAAAGGTAAGACAACCATGGGATGGACTAAACTTTTTTATTTCTTCCATTCAAAAAAGGCTGTATGTATAAGGCCCAATGTGATCCGACCCTTCCCCATAGCCTGTGTATAGTGGGAGCTTAGTGCACCGGGCTAACTTACTATTCCTATTCAAACACTAACACTGTATATTGTTTTATTCCTTCCCTTTACCCCCTTGAATTTAATTTTACTTTTCACTCACTTTTCCTGCTTCGGGCAGTTGATGGTAACTACCTGTCTTTATGTCTATGTTCTAAATTAGTTTTGTTTGCATTTGTTCAGCCTCTTAACATTGAACAATATACTTCCCTCCGCCGCATGGCCAGTGATATTCATGCCTATGCACCTGATGCTCGTATTCTGACAACTTATTATTGCGGTGAGCATCAGATTTCTCTTCATTACATGTATTTATTTCAATGAGATGTTGTGCCTGATAGCTATATGTCTATATCCATGTCTTTTGTTGCCCTTTGGATTGAAGAATCTATCTACTAAATAGAATTGTGCTGTATCTGTTTGGATGATGGACCTACTGTGCTATATTGCATAAGCCAAATATGTGAGGACAGACTGAATAGTGGAGTTGAAACAAAAAGAATATTTTTGCTTCCAACCCACTCTGGATCATATGATAAGCTGCTGATTGAAGAGTATTAGCTGTCACATTTAGTGTTGAAACTCCTGTTCCTTATGGACACTTTAAATAGAAGCGGAAGAACAGTAGAAATTCTTCAATCTTAGTGATTAGTGCGTCTCATTGGTGCCTGTGTTTATGGCCAGTTCTTGCAGAAAATTTCGTATTTAACACGCTTATTACATGAGCACGGCGTTATTCTTACTCTGTCTGAAATAACTTTTTAGATGGATATTGCTTTGTCTGATATTATTCTGGATGTCAATGCTTTCTTGGAATATATGCAACTATTGTGCTAATGTAACTGGTGCGTGCTATTTGTTGAGACACGTTTTAAGGTGAAAATATTAGATATATCCCAGTTATGCATGGTTTTGCAATTCCATCAGGTGCATTTAACCTCTACACTTACATTTGGAACACTTAATTGATAAAAGCCCTTGATGACTCCGAAACTGAGAGGGTTACCATGCCTTGAAGTAATTGACATCAACTTCCTGGCAATTCTGACTGCTTTATCTGAAATTCTAAGGTAATAATTTGAGTGATGTCACTGACAGAAGCATCAAATGAAGCTTCATCTGAGACAATCTCACATGATTTTTGAACTTTGTGATTGACAAACTAGATATTTATTTGACACTCTTTGGCCTAGATCTGTCTGAATATTCTTTGGTAATTGTTATTCGCGTGGAAAACTCTCTTCACATGGATACTGTTCTTATTTTACAGGACCAAGTGATGCACCTCTTTCTACAAATAACTTTGAGGCTTTTCTGAAAGTTCCTGCATTCCTACGTCCTCATACTCAGATATATTGCACAAGGTAGTGATTTAGTTTCTTGAGAAATCCTTTGTTTTATTTCCAATGTACAAGTATGAGAATGACCAAGGAACTATTACATTAAAAAATGAATGTTGTGATTAGTTTTTACCTACCTTATAAATAAAAGAATGTGGTGATTAGTAAAAGAACCGAAAAGTTTATTTTGTTAGTATTGTAGCTCAGATGGATGGGATACAAACACTGCCCTTTGTGAGAACTCACTGAATAAATTGGGTACTCATTCAGTTTTGGATGAGATAATCTGGAAGTCTCATTATCTGTGTTAAGTTCAGTGATTTGAAATAGTTGAATTTGCTATCTTTAGATTTGGTATAGTGAAAGCATACGTCCTCATGGATTAGCTTAATTTGTGTCTTAGTTGACAAGTTTGAGTCCTGTGCCAAGTGAACAAAGTCCAGTATATAAGTGGAGAAGGGTAGGGAAGTCTGCCCCATTATCCCCGAGCTTTGGTTGAAAATTCATGTATAGTGAAAGCATCATAGTTTACTACTGCATCTCTTAAATTTTAGAAACCTGCTGATGTATTTCTTTCCATTTATCATACCCACTAGTTTTGGACATGTTCCCAAGCAAGCACTACATATGGTATGAGTCAATATTAAAACCACATTGTAATGAGTATCACAAACTGTTCAGCAGGAAAATACAAGTTGAAATAGATGAACAATCAACCTGTCTGAGTGACTTCTTCATTGAATGCCAAATGATTTGATATTCTCTGAACCTGCAAAAGTTGAACAACTAAGGACGTGTTCGGTACAAATGAAAATGTTTTCCATGAAAAGTGTTTTCTTGGAAAATAAGTGGGTTTCTTACTTATTTCTTTGTGTTCGGTACGTAAGCAAAAAATACTATGCTGAAAAAAATTTGTATATAATCTAGACAAATACTATGGGAGGTAGGGGTGAGGCTACGGGGGTGGTGGGGATGGGGCTAAGGGAGTGGGGGTGAAGATGAGGCGTGTTAGGAAGGTGGGGAGGACACAATAAATGTGGAATGTCACTTGTGGAATTTATTTTCCCTACTTTCACTAGGGAAGTTATTTTCCTCATTTTTAAGGAACTTGTTTTCCTAAAGAAAATGTTCTCCAAAAATTTTGACCAACCGATCATGAGAAAATTAGTAAACACTTTCTCGGAAATATTTTCCTCCATACCTGGTGCACCCTAAATTAAGTTTGGTATTTAGAATGTATAGTGAGTTACATCTTTGTGTTATAAGGTGCAAACATGTAATACATTTGTATGATCCAATACTTCCTTATAGAGATGATGTTCTTGGCGTATGTTCCCTATGTCAATGCAGACAACTAATATAGTTAATGAAGCAGGCAGTGTAACAGCTAATGAATATAATACAAGATTGAGATAGTATTACCTATTCATCAATGAATACCTATTCGTCAACGAATATTAGCTACCAAAGTACCCTCAACTATATATTGTTATTGGATTTACCTCAGAGGTACTACCGGATAAATCATAATGGCAAAGCGAAGAAGAGCTATGAAACAATGCATACCTATTAATAGCAAGTTGAAGAAATATGCAATAAAGTGGGTAATTCGAAGAAATAACAACTAATGAATACAACACAAGATTGAGATAGTATTACCTCTTTGTTAACGAATATTAGCTGCCAACGAGCACCCTCTCCATTAGCATTTCTGTACTCCATTATTCAGCTTCTTCAAAATACTAAAACCTTAGTCACCCATTTTGTTGTATTACCTATTTAGTGCTAACCGGTAATTGAATTATAACAAAGAGTTTGTAACATAGGAACTACAAAGCCATAAGATACTATATGTTCTTTCATAGTAATTATTTTTTGTAGCAATTATTTAACATTTAATAGATTTCATCAAATCACATGCCCACTCTTAATGATTAAGTAACATATAAATCATCCGAAAATGTGTAATGTTTTGCACGTTGGAACAACATATCACGTGTAATCCCACAAGTGGGGTTTGGGGAGGGTGGTATACGCAACCTTATTCTTATCTTGTGAAGGTAGAGATATTGTTTTCGATATACCCTCGACTCAAGGAATACATCAAAAACAAGTATGAAAAGGATATATAGTAGTGGAGAAGTCATGCTGAAAATAATAGGGAAGAAAAACAGTAGCTATAACCAATTATACGACATTCAAAGCAAAAGAAACAAAAATAATGATAAAATCATAGAATAAGATAGTAGAAGAGTAATAATACCAATACGGAGAAGGAAAACTAGACAATGCTTGACCACCCACTAACCTTCTTCCCTGATCCTAGATCTCCATATTCTCTTATCTAGGTTTATGTCCTCGGTATGTTGCAGGTGTGTCATGTCTCGCTTAATCACCTCTTCGGCCTACTTCTACCTCTCCTCATTCCCACCATAGTCAATCTCTCGCATATCCTCACTAGAGCATCTGTATCTCTCCTCTTCATGTGCCCGAACCATCTCAGCTTTGCTTCCCTCATCTTTTCTACCATAGAGGCCACTCCAACCTTGTTCCCGAATATCTTCGTTCCTAATCTTATAATTCTTCTGGAAATATGTAAAGTTTTGCACGTTGGAGAGCCCATAAATTTATAGAAGGCATTCTTTCCATGCAACTATTTATCATTTATTACAGGTATTAATTAGCATTTAGTATGATATCATTAAATAAGACACCCCTTTTGATAATCGTTCATATTTATACTGATTCAACCAAGAAGGTGTGGGGTTTTTGTTTCCTTAAACGTGTAGTTTTTCTTCTTTTTCTTTAGGATGAGGGGTAGTTTAGTCGATTTCAAGGGTATTTCCATAAACCAACTTCCCACTTTTAGAATATTATGTGGATTTTTTTTGTGGACAAAAATCTTGTTTTTCTTTTTTCTGTGGCTAGTTCTTTTTCCTTCATGCTCTTTAGTTGTTCTGTTGCCGTTATATAAATTTTGAACCAGTTGATGTTAAATGAAATTACTTTTTAAACAATGTTGTTGCCCACTCATACTTCATGAGAATCATTGACTGGAGTATTAAGCCAGCTATCCATGTTTGCCCTGATTCACGTTTGGAGGTTGGAGACAAGCCTAAAAGAATTCAATTAATGAGCTATTATATACTACTTCCTTTATCTAAAAGAATGACAAAGTTTGGACTACGAGAATCAAAACCATCTAGGTTGGTGAGAATTCAGATTTCGATTTAATTGTTTTTAAATGACATTTATATATCTAAGAATAACATAGAAGTACCATGAATCAACTTTCTATAATTAAAATATTTACAATTGTTTGAATAAATCCCCAATAAACTAGTTGTGCATACTTTCGATCTCTTTCCTTTTCTGTTTTGTGATCACCACTTGTTGCATCTGGAGACCTTGTCAGGATTCTCTTCCTTATTGATAAGTTGCTAGCAGGGGCAGATCCACATGGAACCTTGGTGCACTGGTGACAAGTTGCCCCTTTTGAGGTTGAGGTCAGGGGTTCGATTACCACTGGCCTCTGTTTTCATCCCTTTTTAATTAATTAATCAATAAGGGCTTCATTTGTGTGCCCTTGAGCCTACCAAATATCCAGCCCCTTTTTTCTCCTAATAAATAGGTTTCAAATCCCAGTTTTCTTTTTTAAATTGTATAAATAAAAGTTTGACTTTCTTTTCTCCTGTTTTCCTTTTCTTTATCGGTTTTAACTTACACAGGTTTTGTTTCTTCCTTTTTTTCTTTCATGGTCATTATCTTTAGTTTCATCAATGAAGTACATCAAAAATGATGCACTAATAGAATGTATGATGAGCAGGATGCGGGGAGACTCACATGTTCGGTTCTTATATTATTTGAATGGTTATTTAGTTAGCTATATAGAACGTAAGATTTTTGAAAATGTAAGTAATGATGGTACTATTGATGTTTGAAGTATGAAAACTTGTCGCGGACAATTATGAATGATATTTCCTTTGTTGATATAAATTTATATTATTTAAATGAACATCTATCTTAAGAGCAATGGTGCACCTATGTTCTTGAAATCCGGAATATGCCTCTGCTTACTAGGCTTTTTAACGCATTTCCTTTTCTATTCAGCGAATGGGTTATTGGTAACAGAGAGGATCTGGCGAAGGATATTATCGCGGAGATACAAACAGAAAACGGAGAGGTAATAAAAATATATAAACTTTGTTTTTCAATGGATTATTGTTATGAAGTAAACAGTGGATCACTGAAGTTACTTCTAGACTCTCGTTAAATGAGGAAAGGAAAATGATGCAGAGAAGTGTCATACAGATTAATTTACTTTTTGATTTTATGGTCCTTGCTGATATCACATTCATGTTTTTTCCCTTTGCTTTTTTCCTCTAATGCGACAAGATAAGTTATTGCCTGCAGATACTGCTGACAATTAACTCTTATTTTGAGGACTAGAGCTTAGCATCAGAGATTCTAGGACAGTCAATGGTTTTAACACATGATTCCATATGCTAAATATAGGATATTCTATTTGAGTTACAAGATCAGATTGCACCTTGTTCATCATGGATTCCCTCACTGGTGGATAAGAGGACTCTATCTTAGGTCTCACATCTTTTTATGGATGAAGATTCATTTCTTCTTAAAGAATGTATGCATGATTTTTATTGAAAAAAATGTATGCTTGATTGGGAAGAAAAAAAGAAGTTAAGGAATCTATGCAAATTGGGACCATGTCAAGTTCTAACTTATGTGCATGATTTATCAACAAATGGGTTTAGCAAAGGCCACTTTAAATGATTAACATTCTACTCATCTGTCTGTATGGAAGTTGTTGATCATTGCTAGTGTATATGACATTGATTCATAAGGACATTAGAGGGACATGAGATAGTTGTAGCATTTCACTTTTTCTCTTCCAATGAAAATTGGCATCTTATTTCGAGAAGTTATTCTGAAGCTTTATAACTAATGAGGTTTCCCTAAGTTTAGTACTTCGTTAATGTGTTTGAGAGTATTGTTGCAGCCTAGACGTACCCAGTAAGTGCTCTGTGAAGTTGTCACTATTTGAATGGGTCAATAATTAATGAGTCCTCTACATGAATGTGGATCTTCAAGTTTTGTTTTATGATATGCAGGATTAAGATTATTTCATTTCAATACCTCCTCTATGTTGCTCCTTGGATAATCTTAAAACATTTTGGCTATAAATTCCTTTAAAGGTTTTTCTTATTTCTGTACGTATTCTATGAATGAACTTAATTTCTTAAGAGCTCATGTAAGACTATCAGCATTTTTATCCAAAAAGAAAAGAAAAAAGACTGGCAGCATATTCCTTATGTATGCATCACCTGTTGGCATGGTGCTTGTTATGTTCGTTGCAGGAGTGGTGGACATATGTATGCTTGGGACCAGGTGATCCTCATCCCAACTGGCACTTGGGGATGCGAGGCACTCAACACCGTGCTGTGATGTGGCGTGTGTGGAAAGAAGGTGGAACAGGTTTCTTATATTGGGGTGCCAACTGCTATGAGAAAGCAACAGTTCCTAGTGCTGAGGTTAGTGCATCCCTATGCATGACACGAAACTGATGGATAAATTATGTCGTAGAGGTTGATAGTTGTGAAATAATTAATATTTTTCTCTTCATGCCTGATACAAGTAATATTTGTCTGCAGATTAAGTTCAGGCGTGGCCTTCCTCCAGGTGATGGAGTTTTATTCTACCCTGGTCAGGTGTTCTCATCATCTCAGCAACCTGTTGCTTCTCTGAGACTAGAGAGGCTCTTGAGTGGCTTGCAGGTATTTTTCATATTGACTTATTTCCTCTTTCGGTAATATTTTTGCATTTTCGTAGAGAGGCATCAACCATGAAGTCCCTTGATCTTTCAGGGATGGAAGGTGCAATATTGTCTGTTTTACACAGAACAGAAAATTTGATGCACTTCTGCAAAAACAAAAAAAAACATGTTTGAACAATATCCTTTTGATGTCTTAACCGCAGGGCATCCTTTAGTAACTACGTCCTTTCTTCATTTCAATTTGCTTTCTCTTGTCGCTTCCTGTTTTCAGAAACTTGATACATCTATTTCCTACACTCGTTCCATTTATATGTGAATCATTTGCCGATAGTTGTTCTGTTTGGATTGCACTTCTTCAGTTATAATGTTTTTCTGCTTTTTATTCAATGAGATTTCTCCTTGTAAATAGAACTCCCTCTCCTTAGTTCCCTCTATTCTCTCCCGAATAAAGTAATAATTAGAAGAAAGAAAGATGTTAAATCTATCTATATGTCGTTTAATTCTTTTTAATCTCATATTGTCTGATCACTTTTCTTTTTCCTTTTTGTATTCACTCCTCTTTTTTCATGACTGATTTTCTTAGGATATTGAGTACCTCAAGCTGTACGCTTCAAGATATGGTAGGGATGAAAGCCTCAACCTTTTGGAGAAGACAGGAATGTATCTAGGGCCTGAGCGCTACACTTCGGAACACAGACCTATAGATGTCATGAGGGGTGAGGTTTACAGGACATGCCAATCCTAGATTTGATGCTCGAGTTTGATGACACCCATCTGTATTTGTGTAAAGCATCTCAAGCATATCGGTTTGTATGATGTATATTTATAGATTTGAGAAACACTCTTGGGTTATACATCTCAATCATATTTACTAGGTCAAAACAGAGTATATTTAAGTCAGTTTGCCCAGATCTGTACATATTATCATGTTCAAGTAATAGTAGTAAATGCATGGTACCGCTGTAACGTGATTTTGTATGTTGAAGATGGATTATGGCTGATTCAATTTCAGTAGAACTGAATCTATCGTATCATAGATTACTTAGACTAAAATTTGAACCGATCTTTAATACTCTTAGGAACCTCATGACATAAAAATTTCACGGGGTAGCCTACTTGGACACCAATACTTAACTTGTACCCCATTTTATTCTATTTTATTAACTTTAGATATGTGATGTCTGAAGTTACAAAATGCTTGAAGTTTCATATGGCTGAACTTCAGTTATATGTGCATGAACTTTTAGCCATATGATTTGTCAAGTCTAACTACAGACTGCATTCGGCTATCATGTTATTGTGTTGCGATTATTATGTTACTATCTATTGTTTTTGCTACTATATGCTATTTTTGGACTATTTTTTCCTTGAGCCTAGGGTTTATCGAAAATAATATCTCTACATTTGAGGTAAGGGTAAGGTTTGCTACACTCTATCCTTCTTAGACCCTAATGATTACTCTGTGAGATTACATTGGGTATATTATTGTTGTCATTATTTCGTAAAGAAACCGCTTGTTTGAAGTTATTTCAAAGTGGGTTGATTTATTAACTTTTACGTAGTGCAGGTATTGAGCATTTGTGCACCTGGGCCCCTCATGAGTAAGGATTATGTTATGATATTTCTACATCTATTCCTGACTGTAGGGTGGAAAATAGGGAATTTAATGTACAAAACAAATGAGTAGAGGCATTGACCAGTGCGATGGATGTGACTCCACGAACTATAAGCAATAGGATAGATTATATACCTATCTCAATCATAATAGCAGGATTAGCTTTAGCACTTGCTTTTATATGATAAAGTTTTTGAAAGAAAGGTGGTGGGGAGAAATTATTGCTATCAAGATTCATTCAAGCTAGACTTTTTGTAGCAAAATGTAGTGATACTGGAATCACAAAAGCAAAGTAGGAAAAAAAAAGAAAAAAGAGGAAAAGGCAATCAAAAGTTTATCAAAATGGTGATGATTGGCTAGGTTGCCTCTCAGTCATTGTCCATTTTTGACATTGTGCTCTTTTTGTTCCTGTTACAGCTGTAATGTGTGTATGCTAGCTAGATTTGTCCATAACTTCCATCTTCAGAGTTGCTTGATCTTTTATTTCGAAAATCAAACTTATCCATAGATAGAAGCTCATCTTTTGCCCTATGTTTATTGCAAGACACATACTTATTTAACATCAAATCACATTAGTTCAAATTTCATAGGAGGCGAAAACACTAGTTGATTCATTCCATATATCTAAAGTCAGATTCATGATATGTTGCAATTTTATAGATCTTTATACTTCAATTTTATTTTGCATCGAAAGTACTGGATTCAGATGAACCTGGTACTTGTAATCTACCTCTATCGAAACATGATAGACAAAGTTTTATCTAGTACATGTGTTGGTGAGAGGTAGCAGGCACCCCATGAAACTAGCTATTGGGGTGCATGCAAGCTGGCTCGGATACCAACGTTATTCCATTAGTGTGGACAGCATTTTCTGAGTTACCATTTGTCCATTACACCAAATTTTTATTCTGTTGGTGTGATGTCCTATCTTTGAACACTTTGTGGCATAATTGTCTATAAAATCTCAATAATTGTATTGCAACAGTGTAAGTACTGTTAGGAATGGAAGAACAGGAAAATAGTTTTTGCATTAATTCCACATCTGTAGCAACAACTGCGAACGTTTACTGCTTTCGATTCTGCTCATTATAACGCAATTAACGTTCATTTGTCTAAACTTATGGATCCGTCTTCTTTTTTTTTTAACAATTCTTTAATTTCAACTTTTCACCTATCATGTTTAGAACTACAAGATTAACTAACATTTCGATATATTCTATGTATATTTAATTTAAAATCACGAGATTCAAAAGTCTTCTTTACTTTTTAAATCTTGTCTCAAGTCAAAAGCAGATAAATAGATCGAAACACAATGAATGTCATTTATATTGATTTTATTGAATCAAATTTGATTAGGCTAGAACGGGTTATGTAATATATGTATAGGTTAATTCAATGTGTGTCAAATAATGGATCATACTCCAACTTGCTCAACATGACCCAACCAACCAACCTCTCCTCCTCTTTATATTTTCTTTTTGTAAATAAGTTGAAGCTTTCGGTACGGAGTCGTCTTTGTTAGGGAATGTTTTATTCCCAACGTGGGATTTCCCGGTGTGTAGCTGGATTTAGTCGAGCTCCAACGTGGATACAGGGGTGGAAAAAAAAGTTGAAACTAATGTATTTTTCTTAATTACTAGCTTAAGTTCTTCCAAACTTACTTCACATTTAGTCTCCAAATTTGATTTGTATGTTTAAGTAATTAAGTTGCATTTTGACATGTTGCGTTATACTATATTAACCCAAATAGAATATGTGCATGATCTACTTAACATGTTCTATCCTTTAATCTTTTTGTCTATTAGCTTGATATGATATTTGAATTAAGTCAACAAACGGATTATAATCCTATTTATTTAAGCTTAGATGAATTGTATAAGTTACTAAAAAAATGAATTAATTTTACCACTTATACTTCTAAAATAGACATTTGAAGGGATAATTTAAAAAAAAAACATTATTGGATTTGGTGGCAATATGAGGGAATGTTTCTTTTTATTGATCAAAATGTTGGTGGCAGGATAATGTGAAAATGAGTATTATTTTCAGTTTAACCCTTAAAAAGGTACTTTCCTTTAGTAGTGGTACTATCTACTCCATCAATTTCACATAATTATGAGTTGACGCTTAACCATTTTTTATCATTAGAGAGAGAAAGAAAATATGCTTTGTGTTACCAAACAAGTGTTTACAGTTTTAATGATGGAGAATTTAAAGGTTATAAATTTTTATTATTATTTTAAATAAATAGTACTAATTGGGTTTGTAATCTAATACTAATAAAAAAAATATGTGCAAAAGTTATTGAATTATTCTACTAAACTCGTAATTTATAAGTACTTTTAAGTCTGCCACAGTAGTTTATTGGTATTTTGTCGATTATGATCATATAATTAGAAGAATATTGCTTGATACATTCATTTGACACAAAAAAAAAATCGTGCTTTTTTGTAATTTTATATTCCATAGTGTTTTAAATTCTACGAAAAAAAGGTGAAAGAAAGATGAAGCAAAGAAAACTTGAAGGCTTGTTACAAAAAATGATAAGGACCAATGAGAAGTATTTTTGGGTCGATCAATCCATCAAGAAGAAGAATTTGTAATCTTTTTTCTTAAGAAGAATAATTTATAATCTCCCGTAATAATACCGATCTTTCCTAACTAGTTCAGTTAGTATCAAGAACTGTGAAGAGGTTAGAATACAAGTATTATTTACAAAAATTATTGATATTTTCTAAAAGTCAATAAAGTAATAATTAAACATATAATATCACCTATTATCTATACTCATTCATAATATTGGAATTCTTGCGTATACTCTTCTACGTTGATGTGATTGACCAACTTTTTAATTTTCTTTTTGTTCATAAAAATAATTTTTTATTATGTAGGAATATTTGAAATAGTAATACAGTTGAAGTAGGCACCCATAATAATTAAAGGCACGTGCTATCAAAATGCGAATTTTAGTGGAGAGAGTAGTCAGAAAAATAAAAATTGTGATTACTCCATAAGATCACAAAATTAAAATATATTTATCGTCTAATTTGATTAGGCACTTTAATTAATAAAAAAAATTAAAATTATATTTGCTTAAATATGCTACGTAGAATATTAGAATTAAAAAGTTACTATTAAATATATATAATAACATAAATTGTTTTCTTTATTTTATCAAAACAACTTAATTTTTATACGACAAAAATAAAAAAAAATAAAAAATCATTGATTCCTGTTATATTCACAAAGTGAATAAATACTCTGAATAGTCTAATCAGCTTGTATATTCACCATTATTTGTTTTTTTTTACCTTTTTCTTTCTACGTGGAATATGGAATCTAGATTAACTTTTCCAAAGTAAACTTTTCTTTGTTTTATTTCTTGTCAGATATTCAATATTCATATAAAAGCTCAACAAATTTTAAATTGTAGGAGTCATTATTAAGGGTGGAATTTTAATAAAATTTTATTTATTAAAATTCAAATTAATCAAAAGTAAAGTTACTTTTTCCCGGGTCTTGCTACTGCATTGTTTCTTTGTTGTTTTTTTAAAGACTACTATTATAAGAGGGTTTAATAATTATTTGTTTTGCATCATAATTTTTTTAAATTGGGTAAATTAAATAGTATGCCATAAATGCATTCAAGGATATAACCTACTAATCAAAGTTTCAGGTTCAAAACTTAGTGGAAACAAAAAAATATTAGGTGATTATTTCATCTGTCCTAATCTTGGTGGACGGAGTTACATGATACCTAATAATAATGGGTGGGAGGTGAGTGATGACAATTATTGCGTGAAATTAGTCGAAGCCAATAAAAGTTGATTCGGACACCACAATTATTAAGAAAAAAATAGTACTCATAAATTAAATTATAGGTAGTATATCTTTTTTTAAAAGGGAAAAGTCTTAAATATGCAATCGAACTTTGAGAAAACGTTCATTTATGTCAACCGTTTAAAGTTTGGCTCACCTATATCATTTCTGTTTGGAAAAAAACTCATTCATCCCATTATTTGTTAACTGAAATGACATAGATGAAACAAACTTTAAACGGATGACATAGATGAGCCATTTCTCAATGTTCAATGGCATATTTGAGTCTTTTCCTTTTAAAAAATAATTTAATTAATGACGTGGTCAAATCATAATTGACCTTGTGTAAAAATAATTTTGTAAAATTAGAAAAAAATTCAATTAACAAATAATGATATGAATGAGTTTTTTCTCAAATAGCAATGACATAAATGTGTCAAAACTTTAAAACGGATGACGTAAATTAGGGCTGGGCATTCGGTATTTTGGTTCGGTTTTGATTTTTTTTTCCGGTTTTTCGGTTTTCAGTTCT